CCTGCGCGGGTGTTACGGCCAGAATCGTGTCCCCCAAAGTTTCTGTCTTGGAGTCCTAGCCCCCAGGACCCCCATAATCAGAGGTAAGGCCTTTACAGAGAGAACAAAGTTAAAGCCAGGTCGATCGGATGGGCCCTAACCCAATAGCACTGGTGTCCTTACCAAAAGGGGACATTGGGGGTGGACACATACAGGGGGAGCCCCGTGAACACGGGGACGGCCATCTGCAAACCCAGGAAGGACAGACAGAGGCCGGGAACAGACACCCTCACGCCCGCGGGAGGACCCAGCCTGGGGACGCCTTCCCCTCGCACTCAGGCTTCCCGGATGGTGAGAAAGTAACTTCCTGGAAATCATAGTTGCCAGAGCCGTTCTGCTCTGGGAGAGGTCAGATCCTGGTCAGCAAACGGGGAAGAGCAGGCGGCCTCCATCCAGGCTGTTCCCAGGCCTCTCTGCCTGATCCTTTCATAGGACTGAATGCTCCTAGCGACTGAGATGACATGTTGGGTTTACATCTGTTTCCTTGCTCTTAAATGTGTTTTTACTAGAGGCCTGATGCATGAAATTCGTGCATGGGTAGGGTCCCTGGGCCTGGCCTATCGGGGGATCTGTGGGGTGATTCCCCCTCCTCCCCCACTGGCACCCGCCTTAGCTGGCCTGGGGCCTGTGGGCAGCTCCTGCACAGAGCGTCTGCCCCCTGGTGGTCAGTGCGCATCATAGCAACCGGTTCCACCCTTTGGTCGATTTGCATGTTAGGCTTTTATTATATAGGAGGATTGATATTAGAGAGAGAGGAAGGGACAGGAAGAGAGAGAAACACCGATGTGAGAAACCAATCAGCTGCCTCCCTACTGGGGATCAAGCATCCAGGGCATTGTCCGACCGGGATTCAAACCAGTGACCTCTTGGTGCATGGGACGATGCCCCACCCACTGAGCTGCCCCGGGCTGGGCTGGGCGGGGTTTCTTTCTTAGCGTTAATTGTAGAACTTGGAAGTCTCTGCATTTGAGCCCAAAGGGGGTGGATCTGTCCAAGTGTGTATCGGGGGCAGAGAAAGAGCCCCCTCCTCTGAGTAAGTTTAAAGAGCAGTGAGAGCCCGGCCGTGTGGCTCAGTGGAAGGAGAGTCCTTCTATGCAGCAAGAAGTCACGGGTTTGATTCCCAGTTGGGGCACATGCCTAGGTTGCAGGCTCGATCCCCAGTAGGGTGTGTGCAGGGGGCAGGTGATTGAGGATGTTTCTCTAAAATAAATAAAAACATTTTTTTAAAAAAAAAAAGAGCAGTGAGAGGTAGAAAAAGCAACTTCATCTTGTTCTAGGCTCATCGTGTGGTGTCCTGGTTGCACGTAGTGTGAAGTGTGCCATTTAAGCAAGTGCAATAAACTGATTTTAGCAAGTAATACTCGCTTGACTCATTATTTCATCCAACAAATGCTTGTGGGAGGTGTGCCATCTCGGACATTCTGCCCGGCCCTGGAACAGAGCCGTGAGTCAAAGCAGAGACTGGCCCTCCTGGAGCTGGTGGCCGGGTGGGGAGGTGGCTAATCCAGTGGCAACGCCGGGAGATGCAGTTGTGATGTGAGTGACCCGGATGGGGTGGCTTCTCGGGGGGACATGGGAGGTGGGATCTGAGGAATGAGGTTCTGGGGCCCTGTGATGGGGAAGCAGCGGGGGGTGGGGTGTGGAGAGGGGATGCGAGCTGTCCCCTGGCCCTGCCGGCCTCAGGATGCTCCTGGAACTGTCTTAGAAAAGGTGTTTGTCTCCTCGCCATGCAGAGTGAACAAGAACAAGACAACACCACCCGTTGCCTGGGGA